TGTATTTCATCACTTATGTTCAGTTTGTAACCTGTTTTCCAAACCTCCAGTATTATTATGGATTTTCCTATTTCTACTCTTAATTCTACTGATTTTTATCTTGTAAAGCTTAAACCTATGTTTTTTAAAACATACAATAAAAAATTGTTGTATTCTTGGTGAATTGATACCTGTATCATTATCAAAGCTTTCTTTGTCTTTTAATTATAATATTAGTTTATGATGTAATAACTAGAATATATATTCTTATCTACTATATATATTTTTATCTTATGGGTTTAGCGGATTACTTGCTTATTATTAATATTATGTTTCCCCATTATCAGAGTGTTACTTATGTATTATTTTCTAAAACTTTAGTAATCTTAGATAGTAAAAACATACTCATGGATTTATGGAAAAGTAATATAAACTAGTATTTTTAATCAATTCCCTGATAATGCAAAAACCTTGGAACACTTTAAGACAATTTATCCTCCTTATATATTTTATATTATGGTTGTCAGTTAATTCTTAACATATTTCATATAAAACCATGAAAAAATAAAGATAGCAATATAACTAAAATTTTAAAATACACTTTTCCTTCCCCAAATGGAAATATATTTTTTTCAGAAAAAAATGTATTAGTTATACATAATCCATATGCAAAAGGGTATAAATCCTAAAGGTATGCCATGATTAACTTTTAATTGTGATTAACTTTTAATCCTAAAGGTATGCCATGATTAACTTTTAAATATTTGTGTAAACTCAAAAATCAATTGTTACAATATGTTAACACAATATGTTATTATTATTATTGCTATTTTAAAAATTTGTGCATATAATCCGCATACAGTCATGCATGGCATAATGACTTTTTGGTCAACTATGAACTGCATATTCAATGAGAGTCCCATAAGATTATAATGGAGCTGAAAATGTCCTATTGCCTAGTGACAATGCAGTTCTCATAACGTCATAGCATAAAGCACTACTCATATTTCTATGGTGATGCTGCTGTAAACAAACCTACAGCACCGACAGTCACATAAAAGGATAGACATAAAATTATGTGTAATATGTAATGCTCAATAATAATTATGTTACTGTTTTATGTATTTACTATACTATACTTTTTATCATAAGTTTAGAGTGTATGCCTTTTACTTATTATTTTAAAAAAAGTTAACTGTTAAACAGCATTAGGCAGGTTCTTCAGGAGGTATTCCAGAAGGCATTGTTAGCATAGGAGATGACAGCTCCAAGTGGGTTATTATCCATGAATACCTTTCAATGGGACAAGAGGTGGTAGTAGAGATAGTGTTATTAATGATACTAAACTTATGTAGGTTTGGACTAATTTAGTGTTTGTGCCTTAGTTTCTTTAAAAAAAGTTTTAAGAAGTAAAAAAAAAGTAAAAACTTTTAAAGTATAAAAGTTTAAAGAATAAGGATATAAAGAAAAAATATTTTTGCACAACTGCACAGTGTTGTGTTTTAAGCTGTTTTAATACAAAAGAGTAAGAAAAGTTTTTAAAGGTTTTATAAAGTTAAAAAGTTTTTATTTTTATTTTAGATTCAGGGGGTACCCATGCATGTTCATTACATGGACATATTACCTAGTGGTGGAGATTGGGTCTCAGGTGGCCAATTTCCCAAATAGTGAACATTGTACCCCATAGGCAATTTCTGAACCCTAACTCATCTCCCCAGTTCCCCACCTACTGATGTCTCCGGTGTCTATTATTTCCATCATTGTGACCATTTAGCCTCCACTTATGAGTGAGAACATGCAGTATTTGGCATTCTGTTTCTGAGTCAGTTCACTTAGGATAAAGATCTCCAGCTCCATTCATGTTGCCACAAGCTCCATCCATGTTGCCACAAAGGACATGATTTCATTCTTTTTTTATGGCTGCAGCCTTTGTTTTGCTAGATTATTTAAATACTGTGTATGCAAGTACTTCTGAGTACAGCTCCTACAGTTATGTACTAGGGTGAAAGTTGTATTCTGTTGTCTCTTTGTGGACAATGGTCTATTCTCCTGCATCCTTGCCATTCTCCTCTCCAACTCATGCTGCTGAAAACTTAGGAATGCTAATATAACAGTTTCAAATTCTGGTTGCTCATGAGAAAATAATAGCGATTTCCTGAGGGAGCCATTGTGAAGCCATGAAGTGCAGCCTTTAATCAAGTACAGGTTTTGTTTGTTTGTTTGTTTGTTTTTTGGCATAATCATTTGTTTTCTTTCTTTATGACGATCTGGCCCATGTTTAAAATGGTTGGGAAACGGTTTAAAATATCGTGTAGTAGGATTGAAATTTGTAATCTTATAAAAAGGCCTCCTTTTCCTTCTTTGCTGCCTTTCTCAGCAGCCTTTTAATTTTAATGGTTTCTTTGTTGCACTGGAGCTCTAATTCTTATGGAAAAATGGGCAGAGTCGAGGTCTACTACGAGGAAACACTAACGCACATGATTTTCCCTGTTGGTTTGGGACCCTAAACTAGAACTTTTGAAGCTAGAAAGTCTCAGCTTCACTTAGCATGACATCCACCAACTGAAAACTAGGGAACAGATGTTTAGACGAGCAACCTTCCAGCTCAGAAATATTCACGATATTCATCCATTTCTCCCTGCCTCCCCTACCACCAATCAAGTTGCTTCCAGCTTGGAATTTCTAACATCTTTGTTGATAAGATTACTTCAAATTGTCTTCCAAATAGGCCTTCTCTTGAATTCCCTTGAATTTTATTTCATCTGCACTGTGGCTTCAAAAAGTTATTCAGATTTTGTCTACTGAAGTCACCCTTTCCTACTTGCCAAGACTTGAACAGCACGTCCTGCTCTTAAGAAAGCCATTTCCCCCAGCAGGCGGTCTGAGGAGGGGGGCGGCCTGCAGCTCCGGTCTTCGCGGTTCTCGCATGCCTCAGCCCTGGCCCCGACCAGAGGGTCCTCGCTGGCCATGGGGTAAGACTTACACAGTGCTGTGAGTATACAATACTATGGAGAAAGCGCTTGTGAAAACGAACATTCAGATAGCTCTATCTTCTGGGTGTTATTGGAAGAGTAGCTCCGCGTTCTGGCTTGGCTGCAAAACACTTCATAGATGGAGAATTGGTGTCATAGATGAAGATTACAGAGGAAATGCCGATGTTGTACTGTTTAATTTTGGCAAGAAAATTTTGGAGTTAAAAAATGTGATCAAATTGTGCAACTTATTTGTGAACGAATTTTTAAATCCAGAAATAGAAGAAGTTCAAGTTTGGTTGTTTTTTTTTTTGAGTTGAAGTCTCACTCTGTCGCCCAGACTGGAGTGCAGTGGCCGCTCCCGGCCACCACAGCCTCGACCTGCTGGGCTCCGGCAATCCTTCCACCTCAGCCTTCCGAGTCGCCGGAATTACAGGAGCACGCTACCACGCCCGGCTGATTTTTTGATTTATTGTAGAGATGAGGTCCCGCCAAGTTGCCCATGTGGGTCTCGAACCCGCGGGCTCAGGCAATCCACTCACCTCAGCCTCCTAAAGGCGCAGGATTACAGGCTGAGCCACCGAGCCCAGCTAGAAGTTCAAGTTTTAGATGACACTGAAAAGGGCTCAGGAGGTTTTGGTTCCACTGGAAATAATTAAAATTTATGCCAAAAATAGAAAATGAGAATCTCTACTTTAAAAAAAAAGTGTTCTGGTGCTTTGTAAACTTAATAGTTTTACCTTTCTAAAACTATTTAATTTTCTTGTGGATGATGGAAAGACTATCTCTGTTGGGATCAACAGTGTTTGCTTTGTGGTGACCTAATGAAAACAGTGTCTTTTTTAAATTAAATGCACATCCAAAAAAGCCTACATTATTTAATTTAATAAATAATAATCCTTCAGCAAAAAAAGACATATATAGTTTGTTATTTGTTTTTAGGGTGATTAAAGTGATATATGCTGGAAACAATGGCTTTATGTTTTATGTTTTTATGTTTACATATTATATAATCCCTGCTGGATTTTCAATAAAAAGTCAGAACTATTATGATACTTTCTGGGCTTAAGGGCTCTAAGAAATTATTATTATTATTAATGTTAATATTACTCATAATATGATTTTGACTTTGGTCATTTTTATTGGGCTTATTGAAGAAGAAAATTGAAATGTGGGATAAAATCACTACCTTCATGTCAGATTTTTTACTTGTATTTTATAAAGATAATTATTATGTTTGTGTATAAATTCTGATAGAAAGTTAAGTTAAGGCAATGGTAGTAGTTATGGAAAGGAGAAGAAAGTTTTTAGAGTTATTAGTAAAAAAGCTAAATAAAGCATACGGTTTCTAAGATTACCATTCAATGGATACACCAAAGACTTTTGACTATAAATAGTTAAGATGTACAATGAAGATGTTAACTCTGGAAAGGTAAACAATAGCTAAAACTTACATTTGTGTGTACCAAAGCACACTGCTACAAATAGTATTCTGCATCATAGCTTTCCCTTAATTATGTGCAGCAATACTATAATCTTACTAAATATATATGCTTATCATTCTAATGAAATGGTAAATATATAAATAAAATAAAGATATAATTTAATTAAATATTGTTTTGTCTTTTTTCTTAGATAGACAGTTCTAGACAAACCCAATCAGGTAATAATTAATGATCCATAATTAAACGGAAAAAAAAAACCTCCCAAGATCTGTTACTTGAATAGAGGTATAATAGCTCAGAGCACATGGTCAGCTTCTGAAGCACAAACACTTGGGTTCTAACCCTCTAAATTGGTGAACAATTTTTCTTTAACCACAGCCTTTCAGAAGAAATAAACTGTAGTGATTCAACTACATAATAAGGTTCCTGGTGACACACACAGCAAGTTTCATAATGATAACACAGAGATTATGAGTATGTTTTTCTAAATATAAGGAAAATAACCAGGATGAGAGAAGCTTCAATGTGACAAAAAGTAAGTATAGAGTAATGCTATGTTCTAATTTGTGAGAAAAACATTATAACAATGGAAGGGAACTCAGAATTAACCTCCAGACGTGTTCAACACTTTTTGAAGACAGAACAGTTTTGTTTTGTTTTGTTTATTTTTTTGAGTCGGAGTCTCACTCGGTTGCCCAGACTGGAGTGCAGTGGCCACTCCCGGCCACCGCAGCCTCGACATGCTGGGCCCCGGCGATCCTTCTGCTCAACCTTCCGAGTAGCCGGAATTACAGTCACGCGCTACCATGCCCGGCAGATTTTTTTTTATTTATTGTAGAGATGAGGTCTCACTGCCCAGGCGGGTCTCGAACCCACGGGCTCAAGCAATCCACTCACCCCAGCCTCCCAAAGGCTCAGGATTACAGGCTGAGCCACCGAGCCCGGCTAGAACAGTTTTTTAATTGCATTCTTCATGTCCTTGTTTCTCAGACTATAAATGATGGGATTGAAGAATGGGGCAAGTACAGTAAACATCAGTGCAATGGCCGTGTCCAAAAGCGGTGGGTAAGTGGCATTGAAGCGCAAGTACATGAGGGACACACTGCCAAAAAATATCAGGAAGACCATGAGATGGCCTGCGCAGGTAGAAAAAGCCTTCTGTCTACCTTCTGCAGAGGGAATTCTCAGGATCACAGTGACAATTCGTACGTAGGACAGGGCAATGATTAGAACAGTAAGGATAATGGCCACAGCATGGATCACATCCTCAATCAGAATCATGGACGTATCTGTACATGCCAGACTCAGCACAGGGACCAGGTCACAGAATATCTGATGGATTTGGTTGGGTCCACAGAAGGGCAGTGTGGAAATCATCACAATCTCAGGAAGCAGGATAAAGAAGCCAAACATGCAGGAGCCTGCAGAGAGTTGAGCACACAGCCGAGGGGTCATGATCTTCTGATAGCGAAGAGGGTTGCAGATGGCAATATATCTGTCAATGGCCATGGTAATCAGCAAAATCCCTTCTGAATTTCCAAGTGAATGGAAAAAATACATTTGCAAGAGGCACCCCGTCATGGAGATGGCCTTCTTTTCGCTGATGAGGTTAGAGAGCATCTTGGGAATGGTGGCTGTGGTATACCAGATCTCCAGAAAGGAAAATATACTGATAAAGTTATACATGGGATTATGGAGACGAGTGTTCAGTCTTACAGCAAAAAAGATCAATAGGTTACCAATAACAATAAAAGTATAGATGAACAGTAAAGGAAAGAAGTACAGGAGACTCCCGTCCTGGAGCTGTGGGAACCCAGTGAAGATAAATTCAGTCACTGTTGACATGTTTCCACTCTCCATATCCCTAGTAGCACTCCCTGTGAATGATAGAGAGGGCACATTCCAGCTCATGAGGAGGTGAAGAAGAAAACAGATATGATGTACAGGTTTAAAAAAAAACTTGGAAGACTAATAGAGACTAATTTGAGAGTATTATTGTTTTTCCTAACTACACTATTGTACATATCATCTAATATTTGATATTTTTTCTTATTTGCTCTTCTAGAGGCACAACTGCAAAAATAGGGGTCTCCAAATGTTTCAATTGTAAAAAAAAGAAACTTTTTCTAAGCCAGGTGCGGTGGCTCACGCCTATAATCACAGCACTTTGGGAGGCCAAGGTGAGAGAAGTGCCTGAGCCCATGGGTTTGAGACCAGCCTGGGCAACTTGGCGAGACCTCATGTCTACAATAAATCAAAAAATTAGCTGGGCATGATGGTGTGTGCCTGTAGCTTCATCTACTTGGAAGGCGAGGTGGAAGGATGGTCTGAACCCAGCAGGTTGAGGCTGCAGCTGCCATGAGCATGCCTCTGCACTCCAGCCTGGGCAACAGAGTGAGACTCCAACTCAAAAGAAAAAAAAAAAGAAAGTAATTTTAACTTAATTTCTTATATATAAGTATTTGCATTTATAAGTTATACATATCTACTATATTATGATATAATATGAAATTATATATATGTGTCTTATATAATTCTAGGTTTTTAAAGCAAAAATTATGATTAAAATAAAAATAGCAAGTTATATTATGCTCTTTTCCCATTCAGTTGGACCATGTTGCACATTCTGCAGACTTTTATTTTAGAAAATTAGAATATAAACCTGAAGTTGACATTGAAATCCTGTCTATGACTGCCTACCTGTCTTTTGAAAAATGACTTGATGTCTCAGAGTCTCGAGTACTCATTTTCAAAACGGGATTAAAGATAGTTCCTATCTTATAGAGATGCCATAGGATTAAGTAAATGCTTGCAAAAAATTTGAACAGTGATAAGGCAATTTTTTGAAAGAGTAACACAGGCCAACTCACCACCACCTCTCTCATGCTCCTTTAACACTTTGCTGTGGCCTTCCTCCCCTAGCATTCCACTGATGTTATTCTGACCAAGTTCATCAATGCCCCGCTAATTATTAATGAAAACAGTTTCGTCTGCTCTGCCACTTGACACTGTTCATTACTCTTTCTTGAGGTTTTTGTCCCCTGTTTCCATAATTCCCTTCGCAAGAAGCATGACTCCCAAATGGCTTTCACAGGCAGTTCTGGCTTTTGTTTTTGCTTGTGTTTAATTAATTTTTATTTGTATTTTCATTCTTACTCTGCCTCGACTCTCTCATATTAACTTGAGTCTTAAACTCTTTCCCAAGAGTTTATTTTCCCCAGGTTTTGATCTTATCCACTTACAGGATTTCAACTATTAATACTTCTGAATTTTTTTTCAATCAGTCTTTCTTTCATAAGCTCCACATAAACACATCTGACACTAACTCTAGTTTCACTTTCTATCATTCTCCAACTCCACTCTCCCCTGAGATTCCATTGTCCACATTGTTTCTGAAGTCACAATGCCTTCCTGTGTGTGTTGCTTCCCCTATCTTGAATGTAACAAGCCTCCCCCTCCTCTGCCCCCATTCCTCATACAAAAGCAATGTATAGTATTGTTAACAGCCTGGACTTCAGAAACAAACTGATAGCATTTAAATCTTCTCCATGGCTTACAAACTCTGTGACTTAAGGTGAAGTTACTCAGCCTGTTTATGCCTTTAGCTCATTAGAAAATGAAGAAAATATTACTAACTCATGAGTTTTTAAGAATGACTAAATACTTTATAACAACAATAATGGTATGTTATAGTATGGCATTAGTGACACACTTACTAATGCTAGCATTGCTCCAAGCACATTGTATTTCTCATCTAATGCTCATAATACTCAAGTGAGATAAGATTATTAACCCTCGCCGGGCTCGGTGGCTCAACCTGTAATCCCGTGCCTTTGAGAGGCTCCAGTCTGGGCAACCGAGTGAGACTCCAACTCAAAAAAAAAAAAAAAAAAAAAGATTATTAACCCCATTTTTCAAATGAGACAACTTAGTTACAGGCAGGTTAAATATCTTGTCTAGGGATTCTCAGCTAATAAAGAGCAAAGTCAGAATTGAAATCTGTGCACTCTATTTCTAGAGACATGCTCTAACCCACAGACTTGACTGCCTCTACCAATATGTATAAATGTATTTTAAATGTTTAGTGTCAGTAACATAGTAAACACTGGAAAGTTTTGGGTGGCATTGCATTGTATTGCAGTGTTTATCATGTTTCCTCATCAATTTACTTGTTTCACATTCTCTAGACTCTAAATTCCTCCATCAGGGTAGTAAATGTCTTTTATTTCTCACTGTGACTACAACAAGGTTGACATGTAGAAATGGTCAGCATCAAATAAATTAACTCAGAACCCAGCCACCAAGTATGATTACAACTGCACTCAGAAGAGAGCCATACATAAGTGAGAAAAGAAAATTAGAGAATGTTTGAAAAGGGATGCATAATGATTCAGTTTAAATGAGAGTCTTAAACAAGTCTGGACCTTTCAGAAGATGGCATCATAAATGTGGCATTCTGCTTCATATATATACCTAGGTTCAGAACCCCAAGGGGTAAAGTTTTCACTTATATATGAGTTTACCTACCACTAATACTCAAAGGTTCTACATTCTTCAATAATAGAGTCTTCGTGTTATAAGATTATGATTATTATAGATAACAAGTGAATTCTTTATCTTCAAATCTTATCTACACTCACCTCTGACAAAAAACACAGTGACTTCTTTGTCTGTCTGGATTTCTGCATCCTTGACTCATATCAACCCTCCAAAAAGGGATTTACAGTCATCTGCACAGGCAAGTCAGGGAACAGCAGGAAGGGGAAGTGGGCTCTATAGGGAGAGGATCACCTTCTCTCCTGGGTTTAATTAACAGAAAGTTTCCCCTTTTACTCTCCTCTCATTAGATTTTTAGATTTTCAGCTCAAAGTTGTTTATATATAGTATTTATAATGATTTTACTCATTTTCCCAGATGTTGTAGCTACTTTCACCAGCACTTTTGTGATTGTCTCAGCTGTTCTTAGTCTGCCAGGATACTATGCAAAAAGAAGCTTTGTCATGGTCCTTCCCTTCTTACATGAGCACACAGGTGTGGAAAGTACTGAAGGGGATACACGGACACCAGAAATTCATATTGAAAAGCTACTTGGCCAGGCACGGTGACTCACACCTATAATCCCAGCACTTTGGGAGGCCAAGGTGAAAGCATTGCCTGAGACCACAGGTTCAAAACCAGCGTGGACAACTTTACAAGACCTCATCTTGCCAATAAATCAAAAAAATTAGCAGGGCATGATGGCACGTGCCTGTAGTTCCAGCTACTTGGAAGCCTGAGGCTGAAGCATCACCTGAGCCCAGCAGGTAGAGGCTGTGGTGACCGTGAGCATACCACTGCACTCCAGCCTGGGCAATGGGGTGAGAACTCCAACTGAAAAAAAAAAGAAAGAAAAGAAAAGAAAAACTACTTAGTAGAAAATAAGAATATAATCATTTTATAATAAATGTGTCATTGGAGATTAAGTGCTAATACTAAAGAAAGTGGAGGACCAATGTCTTTTTATTTCTCATACCATGAATATGTGTAGGTCTTTCTACTTTTAATAATTCACTTTGGTCCTGCTAACCTCTCTATTGATAGTCAATATCTCCCCTTTTCTCACAGCAATATTCTGCATGTAATGTGTTCCATCCACTAATCTTTTGAAAACCCCGATCTCCTTTTTTTCTGAATTAGTTGATTTTTTTTTTTTTTTTTT